TGTAAGTCTCCAGATAATGCAAGGTCTCTAACCGTATCTGTCACATCTTGAGGGTTAATCCATTCTTCGTACGTCTTTGGCGCTCTATCCACATCCACAAGAGCGAGACAAGGACAGACGTCTTGGCGATCCCAGCGATAGGCAAATGCCACGCACTGAGGATACAATTCACACGCTTTCTGCGACTCGGATATGCACTTGTTCGTGTACACCAGTACAAAGACGCTTGCTGCCACAAACAGAGCTCCAACCCAGCAAGGCACTCGACGCTGAGTTCGTAACTTGGCCAACTTGGCGCTCGAAGTTCGCAGTCTTTTACGTCGTTGGTGAATCACTTCGACGAGACGAGTTAACCGGTAGCTGAACGAGATATTCATCGTGACTCGGATCACTAGATCTGACCACGTTAGAGTTCGGAGAGAGTCAAAAGCAAATCGGAAAAGAGTCGTCACAACGGGGTCTGATTGCATTCTGGCTTGCCGTTGAAAGCTCCCTGGAAAATAAACTTTCAGATACAGTCGCGCCAGTGCTCGGTCGAGATCAAAAGTCGTGTACGAGTGGAGCACCAAGATGATTGGACAAACCACAGCAAAGAACATGTCAAACCTACACAAAAAAGTTAGAATTGCAACCAAATAGTGCGCTTGAACGAGGAAGGACGTACACCGTGTCAACTAAAACCTCCGAGAACGCTGTATGCGCGACTGGGAAGAGGATGAAATAGGCCTGTGACAGACAACTAGATGCGATCAACGCAGTGTATCCGTACGCTAACGTGGTGGAAAGACCAGCTTCGAGTAAATGATGCAGTTGAACGGCTTCAACGATGATATCGCCGGCTTTGAAGAGCATGTTCTGGTACAAAGAATCAGACAATTCTGCTTGTCAAGAAAACATTTCAGAACGTACCCAAAATTTGCGATAATGTCCGTAGTATCCTGTGAGTTCGATCCAAAATGTTGCAGCTTGATGAAGAAACTGACAAAGCCAAGGCGCTCTCGCGATCAATGAAGGGGACATTTCTTCCCAACTTGGTCCAGCCGGAACGATCCGAAAATTCGAATTTCTTAGCACAGTCATTTTCAGCAATACATTTACATAACTGGCAGCGAGAGCACCGAGAGTGACTGCATTAAGCATAGTAATATCAAGTTCGGGATCAATAATGAGCCAGAAATGACCGTCGTCGAAGTCGGCGGTGTCCATGAGATAGTTTGCAGTCTCTTTGGGCCGAACGTTAAGCACGATAAGCCACACAGTCCAGCAGACTGAGACTCCAGCAGCGATGAACAGCAATATACCGATCGGTCCATAGGCTTCTAAGAAGCTGTCGGGGTTCGTAGCTATGGCATCGCTCGGACCCGCGAGGTGTTGACGTCTGCTTGAATGTTGAGGTAGAATGCGGATGATTGTACCAGTTGACTGAGGCTGCGTCTTCTGCTTCTGCAAAAACATAGCCATGCTTACTCAACTAACTCCAGTTCTCACACGCTGTCACGGATGAATGATGAAAATTTCTATGATATTTTGGGCATATACGAGAAGTAAAGTGCTACAGTCTATTTCAGTATCAAAAATAATACTTCGAAGTGCATACTTTCAAGTGTAACTGCCTGCTACAAATTATACCAAAACCGAATCTGTCTCTGCTGCGAGAGAGGCCCCGGATACTTCTCTTCTAGCCAGGATTCGACAAGAGCATCTGTACTCTTGTGGTATTCGCTAGTGAGGTCACTTTTCGTGCCGCGTGCGAATTCAGGAGTGAAAACCTCTGGATAGTTCTCTTGTAGGAACAATAAACTTCAAATATGCCGGAAGAAGTGTAAACCCACATGCGGTTCTCTTTCTGGGGAATGTGTGGATAATGAAAGCGAAGAAAGTAAGCAACTAGCAGATACGCTCCCATGCTCGACTCTTCGAATCGTGTAACCTTAGGATTTAGTGGCATGTAGCCACTCCAAGTATTTGTGTGCAGCAGCAGCGTCGATGGCTCCAGTTGTGCATCCAGCGTTCGTGTTCAAATGTAGCCATTTGATCATTTCCAAGTGGTCATTGCGAGCAGCGTTGTCCATTGCTTTTCATGAGCAATACGCAGATCGCGTAACATGTAGCCACTTCACTACTTCCAAATGGCCAATTCCAGCCACTCCCTCAATGCTTCACTAGAGCGTGCCCACCAATCGATAATCTGCTCCGTCTTCCTTCGTTTCGATCCTTTTTTTT